AGCTCCACCAATTAGTAAAGAGAGACCAAAAATGCTGAGCTTCAGAACAGGTAACAAAAAGATGGGTTAAGGTTTGTCTTTCTCCACAGAGGTGACATTTATCATGTTCCTTGATTGAATCTCTAAAAAGTGTCGAGTTTGTTGGTAGAATGTGATGAATTATTTTGTATTGGAAAATGGCGAGTCTAGTGTCTTTTGCAACATTAAAGGGAAGGCTATAAATGAGTTGTATTGTATGTACGATTTCCTTTCATATAAACACAGTCGTGTATGGTAATTTTGCTCATCTTCAACGCAATGAATTCGGCCGTGTACGTGATGAAAAAGCGAAATTTTTCTCGAACTCGCGACAGCAGATCCGCTCCTTCAATCAAAAGAGCGACACTAAAAACAGCTGTACAAGTGAATTATTAGTATGCAAATTTCAGGCTCTCGATTTTTTCGCGCCGTTTTGATGCGGCGGTTTCCAGGCGAGCTTTATTTACGAAGAGTTCCAGTTGAGAGGTTGCAAAGTAGTTAAGATTTTGTAATGTAAAAACTACGGGGAAACGATGGTTTTTGGAAGGCAAAATGATCGAAGCGTAGTTTCGTGTTTGATCGAGAGAGACCGTTAATTATGTCTGTTTCTTTCTTGTCGTTTTATCTCGCATTTGATTGGTGGCTACACAATCGTCATGTCAAAATCCATTCAAAGTGTTTACGGCTTTTGACTTTCACAGTAAATATGCTAAAACGTCCTAGAGTCTAGGAAAATTAATGGTCCTTCCCAGACTCTCTCTCCTCTGCCTCCACCCAGAATCTGTTGGTAAAAAATCTGTTGGGCGGGAGGGGTGGCTGAGTGTTCTGATTGTTGTTGCGACAAATATTGTGGGTTTCAAATCCGCATGCAGTCGCCAAAAACTACATATCCGTACAAATCAGGCCGTTAAGAAAATAAAGAAGAAAAGATGTGGTCAATTAAACATGTTTTTGGTCTCTTTATTATAGTGTCACAAAATAAATTCTAGTAAATTCAATATTAATTAACTTGTTTCCAGCCACATTTGCTGGAAACATTCCCAACATAACAAGTAACATTTCAGTTTTTAACTATTTCTCACAAC